CGGTCTCGGTTGCGAGACCGTTGACTCCTACTGTGGCTACCAGCATGTTTGCGTCAGAAATCAATTTCTTTGCAGAGTCTGTTACAATCGTTTATCGATACAATGGAATCACAAGAGTGAACCTTTTTATGAGACTTATCTTTACAAATGAAGCAAAAAAAAGGATCTCCTAGAAACATACGTAGAGATTGTTTATTAATCGCTTCTTGCGTGGGATCCTTGCCTGTGTCGGTGATGCGTTAGCCCGTGGACGACAGATTCACAGATCTAGGTTGATCATGAAGAAGGTTCGGTGTTTTTGTTTCAACTGGGAGATAAAAACAGAAGTAAATATCCCAGTGATGTTAAATAAATACTCTTCTCGAGATCAAAACGATGTTTGATCTCAAGGAAAGGGGTGAAGGCCTGCAGACCTCTCAAAATCTTCCTCTTTATGCATGAAGTTTGCTAAGATCTCGCCTTTCTCTCTGAAATTCGTGGGTCTCTGCTCTCAATTTGTCAGTCTCTCCTCACTCTGCTCAACCCTCGTGCATAAGGATGCCAGAGGGATATCTATAGGCTTCAGATGTCGTATTTAAGGATAAGAATTCATGAGTTGGGTGTATCTTCAGTTAGTAACAACTTTCCCGTGTTTAAGGATGTTCCTAAGGCAGTTATGGAGCCAGTGGACCACACGAAACCTGACAAAAACATCAAAAAATGCATCGTTGTCTTCTCAGTATGCGAAACACCCTGAGGTGTCTTGCACTTTCGAGACACCTTAAGGTGTATCGGAATTTGAGACAGCAGTTCGAGTCTTGTCGTTTTGTCATTGCGTCACTTCGTTGCTTCGTCGTTTCATCACGTCGTCTTTGTATCGGACGATGTTCTCTGACTTAGATAACGATATTCTTTGTCTTCTCTTCGCCTCGAGCTGTGTTCAGAAATCTATAGGCAATTTTTTACGCCTACAGTAGAGTACGAACGATGGACATCTGAGCAACAAGAGCAAAGATCTCCTCATAACCAATACATTGTTGCCGAGTAAAATCTTGAGCTACTAAACGAGCTTTCTGACGTTCAATTGTGTCGTCAGGATGATACTTAACCTTATAAACACATTTACTGCCAACAAGAGAGATCCCAGGGGACAGGGAACAACATCCTAGGTATGTGTTTACTTAAAGGCCTAAAATTCCTCAGCCATAGTCTGTCACCACTCTGGAAATTAAACTGCCTCTTGAAAGAACTTTGGCTCAACGGTAGTATGAATGGCAGTAAGAAAGTTATAAAAGATAGGTGAATAGTGTAGGCATATAAAATTGCTTATAGGTCCCTTAGCTCAGCTCGGCACGAACCGACAAACCAACGAGGCGACGAGATCGACGAATCGCACGCAAGCAACGGAATACATCCATTCGCGTGCGGGATCAAGCCAAGTGTTCGAAGAGTCAACGAGTCATCCAACCGAGAGCGGACTCGAACGAATCACGATCGAATCAAGATCGGTTTCGGACTCCAACTCAGAAGCGGATTTACTGCCTAATCGGGATCCGAATTTACTGCCAAATCAGATCAGCAAATCGAATCCGAACCTATCAACTACAAAACCGGAAAACGGGCACAAAGAGGCAAAACGACAAACACCTGGAGGTCGGCTCACCGAGCCACCAAGGAGGCTCGGTGGCCGAGCCACCAAGTGGTGGCTCGGCCGAGCCACCTAGGTGGCTCGGTGGCCGAGCCACCTTGGGCCGAGCCACCCTGAGGTGGCCGGCCCAGATCTGTGCCTAGGCACAGATCTGAGTGCCTATAAATAGGCTAGGCCTTGGTTCATTTGAGGGGTTGGAAAATTTGGAGAGGCGAAGCCCTGCTGGATTGGAGACTCAGAACTTAACAAGATTCAAGCTTTGGGACATCAAGGACTTGCTCATCCAGATCTGGTGCTCGGCGACCGTCAACGCCAAATAAGGCAGGTATTCGAGAGGACCAGATCTCAGATCTACGCGTACGAACTCCGGATCTAGGCTTGGTCTTAGATCCCGAGACTTGCACACAGATATTGCAGGACCATTTGAAGTCATCTCTCTTGGAGGAAACAGGTATTTTCTCACATTTATTGATGATTATAGCAGAAAAACTTGGGTTTATTTCCTGAAGGAGAAATCCGAAGCTCTGGAGAAATTCAAAGAATTCAAGGAGATGGTAGAAAAGCAAAGTGGGTACCACATCAAAGTGCTCCGATCAGATCGAGGTGGAGAATACACTTCGAAGGCATTCAACAATTTCAACAAGCAGTACGGGATAATTCATCAACTCACTGCCGCCTACACACCACAGCAGAATGGCATAGCAGAGCGGAAGAATCGTACCATTCTTGATATGGTCAGAAGCATGTTGAAGAGCAAGTACCTGCCAAAGACTTACTGGGCTGAAGCCGTGGACTGTGCAGTTTACCTCCTCAACAGATGTCCGACAAAGAGCGTCAAGTTCAAGACACCATTGGAGATGTGGAGCAACATCAAGCCAAGTGTCAACCACCTGAAGGTGTTTGGGTGTATTGCATATGCACACATCCCGGAGCAGAAAAGAAAGAAGTTGGACGATCGAGGAGAAAAGTGCATATTCGTTGGGTACGAGAGGAGGACAAAAGCATACAAGCTCTACAATCCAGTTACAAAGAAGATGATCATTTCAAGAGACGTGGAGTTCGATGAAGAAGATTATTGGAAATGGACCGATGAAGATAAAAATATTAAAGGTATGTTCTTTGAAGATAATGATGATGACTTGCAGGAGGTTGGAAGACCAGAACAAAGTCCACCTAATAGTCCAGCTCCATCAACCCCAACATCAACGCCGACATCATCCAGCTCAAGTGAAGGAAGCTCTTCAGGGGGAGCAACAAGGAGGATGAGAAGCCTAAGAGATCTGTACGACGATACAGAGCCTGTCGAGATGATGGATGACTACACACTATTCTGCTTGTTTGCAGAATGTGATCCGGTCAGCTATGAAGAAGCTGCTCAAGAAGATAAGTGGAGAAAAGCCATGGATGACGAGATCGAGGCAATCAAGAGAAATGACACATGGGAGCTCACTACCTTACCTGAAGGCCATAAACCAATCGGAGTAAAGTGGGTGTACAAGACAAAGACAAATCAAGATGGCGGAATCGAGAAGTACAAGGCCAGGCTTGTTGCAAAAGGCTATAGTCAGCGAGAAGGAGTTGACTATGAAGAAGTGTTCGCACCAGTCGCGAGGATCGACACCATCCGACTCATTATCGCATTGGCAGCACAGAACCGGTGGAAGATCTACCAGATGGACGTGAAGTCTGCATTCCTGAACGGCTACTTAGAAGAAGAAGTCTACATCAAGCAACCACCAGGGTACGAGGTGAAGAATCAAGAAGACAAAGTCTACAAGCTGAAGAAGGCATTGTATGGACTGAAGCAAGCGCCCAGAGCATGGAATGCCAGAATCGATGCATACTTCCAGAAGAACGGATTCCATCGGAGCCCGTATGAGCACTCTCTCTATACCAAGAAGAAGGATGAAGACATCATGATCGTATGTCTCTACGTGGACGACATGATCTTCACCGGCAACAATCCGAAAATGTTCGAGGAGTTCAAAAAGAATATGATCAAGGAGTTCGAGATGACTGACATTGGAGAAATGTCATACTTTCTTGGAGTAGAAGTGTCGCAATCAGAGAAAGGAATCTTCATCTCTCAGAAGAAGTATGCAAAGGATATCCTTCAGAAGTTCAACATGAGCAACTGCAATCCAGTCGCAACTCCTGCAGAAGTCGGAGTGAAGCTGAGGCGAGACACACCAGGAAGCTATATTGATCCAACTCTATACAAGAGTTTAGTCGGGAGCTTGCGCTACCTAACCATCACCAGGCCCGACATAGTGTTCGCGGTAGGACTGGTGAGCAGATATATGGAGGAGCCAAGACAGGAGCATTTCAAAGCAGCCAAGAGAATTCTTAGGTATGTCCGAGGAAGTATTGATCAAGGATTATTTTATACACAGTGTGCAGATTCAAGATTAGTCGGCTACACCGACAGCGATTATGGTGGAGATTTAGATGAAAGAAAGAGCACATCTGGCTACATGTTCAATATCGGATCAGCAACATTCTCATGGTCATCAAAGAAGCAGTCTGTCGTCGCTCTATCAAGTTGCGAAGCAGAATACATAGCAGCATCGACATGTGCGTGTCAAGCAATATGGCTCAGGAGTCTGATGAAGGAATTGCAACACCAACAAGAAGCACCGACAGAGATTCTCATCGACAACAAGTCAGCTATTGCACTTGCCAAAAATCCGGTAGCACATGGACGAAGCAAACACATAGAGACAAGGTATCATTTCATCCGACATCAAGTTAAAAAGAAGACTGTGATGCTGTCATATTGCAAGTCTGAAGACCAAATCGCTGACATCTTCACCAAGCCACTAAAGACAGAGACATTTTTGAAGCTTAAGAAGAAGCTTGGACTTGAGAGAAATGAAAGTTGGTGATGAGGGGGAGTATTAGAATTCCTCACCAACTTAGATTATTCTAGAACAACTTTCTAGAACTTCTTTCTAGTAACATCCTACAAAATATCTACCATGAAGTTTCTAGGAAGATACAAGTGTATGGCTAGTATTTATTCTTCTAGAAACTTCTTAGTAATGTATGGCTAGGATTAACTCTTCTACACACTTCCTAGCCCTCTTAAACAACTATAAATAGGGGTCTTGTGCTCTCATTTGGGCAAGCAAGCAAGCAAGCAAGAAGTGAGCTTGAGAGCTTGAGTGTGTAGTGTAGCCTTGTGTGAGTGTCCACCAAAATAAAGGAATTGTGTGAAAGTGAGGTGTTCTTGTAAGAACAAGTGTTGTATTCTCAAGTGTTCTATCAATAAAAGTTTCCTTTGTGTAGAGTGTTGTGTTCTTCAAATTCCATCAAAGTGGTATCAGAGCAAAGTTCGATCTAGCCGGGCCAATCGAAGGTGCTCGTGTACGAGATGGCGAACATGATCCAGCCACAGATTCCGAAGCTGATGAAGACCAATTACGACAACTGGAGTATCCAGATGAAAGTCTTGCTCGGCTCGCAAGACTTGTGGGATCTCGTAGAGAATGGCTACACTGAACCGGAGTCACCTGCAGCAGAAGCAACTCTCACCGCCACTCAGAAGAGTGAGTTGAAGGAGGTCAGAAAAAGAGACAAAAAAGCTTTGTTCCTAATATTCCAAGGCGTAGATGAATCTGCGTTTGAGAAGATTTCCAATGCCCTGTCCTCTAAAGAAGCATGGGAGATTTTACAAAAATCCTATCAAGGTGCGGAAAGAGCCAAAAAGGTACGCCTCCAAGCATTAAGAGTTGAATTTGAAAATTTGAAGATGAAAGCTACAGAATCAATATCGGATTATTTTAGTAGAGTTCAGACAATAACAAATCAAATGAAGAGAAATGGAGAAGCAATTAATGATGTAAGAATTATGGAGAAGATACTTAGGACTTTAGACTCTAAATTCAAATATATTATTCCGGCAATACAAGAGTCTAAAGATCTTTCCGAAGTATCTATTGATGAGCTGCAAGGTTCTCTGCAAGCTTATGAACAAGATATAAACATTAGTTCAAATCAAGCGGAGAATCTAGAACAAGCCTTGCAGAGTAAGATGACTATCAAAGAAGATAGTCGAAGAGGACGTGGAGGCTACAGAGGCAGAGGCTCATTTCGAGGTGGCTCAAACTTCCAGCAAGGTCGTAGGAGACAGTACCAAGGAGGCCATGAAAATCAAGATCGAAATAGAGATCGTGAACGATCATTCGATCGAGGACGAGGTCGTGGCACACGAGGACGAGGACAAGGAAGAAGTTACCATGAGGACAGATCTCAGCCACAGTGTTACAAATGTAAGAGATACGGTCATCTCAGCTACGAATGTTGGGAGAAATCAAATCAAGTGGCAGAAAGAAGCAACTTTGTAGAAAGGGAGCAGGCAGACACTTCAACAGTCCTGTTGACGTACCAGGAGAGCGAAAGCAAGAATAAAGATATCTGGTATCTAGATTCAGGTGCCAGTAACCACATGTGCGGCATCAAGGAGTTTTTTACCGAGCTGAACGAGACGGTACAAGGAGATGTCACCTTTGGAGATCAGTCAAAGATTCCAGTGAAAGGCAAGGGCAATATAATGATCCAGACAAAGACGGGCGAGAACAGGTACATCTCTGATGTCTACTATGTTCCAGCATTACGAAATAATATTTTGAGCCTAGGCCAGCTCCTTGAAAGAGGCTATGATATACATCTAAAAGACCTTGCCCTCACTATTAAAAATAAAAATGAAGTTATTGCAAAGGTGAACATGTCTAGAAATAGACTGTTTACCTTAAATATTCATGCTGACCCTGTCAAGTGCTTGAAGTCAATCATAAAAGACGAGACTTGGCTCTGGCATCTACGATTCGGGCATCTCGCTTTCAGTGGCCTGAATCTTCTATGGAAGGAGAAAATGGTAAAAGGATTGCCGCAAATCAACCATCCGAACCAGCTATGTGAAGGCTGTATGAAGGGCAAACAACATAGAAGAAGTTTCGAAGTTGGAAAGTCAAGAAGAGCAACAGAGTTGCTACAATTGGTCCACACAGATATTGCAGGACCATTTGAAGTCATCTCTCTTGGAGGAAACAGGTATTTTCTCACATTTATTGATGATTATAGCAGAAAAACTTGGGTTTATTTCCTGAAGGAGAAATCCGAAGCTCTGGAGAAATTCAAAGAATTCAAGGAGATGGTAGAAAAGCAAAGTGGGTACCACATCAAAGTGCTCCGATCAGATCGAGGTGGAGAATACACTTCGAAGGCATTCAACAATTTCAACAAGCAGTACGGGATAATTCATCAACTCACTGCCGCCTACACACCACAGCAGAATGGCATAGCAGAGCGGAAGAATCGTACCATTCTTGATATGGTCAGAAGCATGTTGAAGAGCAAGTACCTGCCAAAGACTTACTGGGCTGAAGCCGTGGACTGTGCAGTTTACCTCCTCAACAGATGTCCGACAAAGAGCGTCAAGTTCAAGACACCATTGGAGATGTGGAGCAACATCAAGCCAAGTGTCAACCACCTGAAGGTGTTTGGGTGTATTGCATATGCACACATCCCGGAGCAGAAAAGAAAGAAGTTGGACGATCGAGGAGAAAAGTGCATATTCGTTGGGTACGAGAGGAGGACAAAAGCATACAAGCTCTACAATCCAGTTACAAAGAAGATGATCATTTCAAGAGACGTGGAGTTCGATGAAGAAGATTATTGGAAATGGACCGATGAAGATAAAAATATTAAAGGTATGTTCTTTGAAGATAATGATGATGACTTGCAGGAGGTTGGAAGACCAGAACAAAGTCCACCTAATAGTCCAGCTCCATCAACCCCAACATCAACGCCGACATCATCCAGCTCAAGTGAAGGAAGCTCTTCAGGGGGAGCAACAAGGAGGATGAGAAGCCTAAGAGATCTGTACGACGATACAGAGCCTGTCGAGATGATGGATGACTACACACTATTCTGCTTGTTTGCAGAATGTGATCCGGTCAGCTATGAAGAAGCTGCTCAAGAAGATAAGTGGAGAAAAGCCATGGATGACGAGATCGAGGCAATCAAGAGAAATGACACATGGGAGCTCACTACCTTACCTGAAGGCCATAAACCAATCGGAGTAAAGTGGGTGTACAAGACAAAGACAAATCAAGATGGCGGAATCGAGAAGTACAAGGCCAGGCTTGTTGCAAAAGGCTATAGTCAGCGAGAAGGAGTTGACTATGAAGAAGTGTTCGCACCAGTCGCGAGGATCGACACCATCCGACTCATTATCGCATTGGCAGCACAGAACCGGTGGAAGATCTACCAGATGGACGTGAAGTCTGCATTCCTGAACGGCTACTTAGAAGAAGAAGTCTACATCAAGCAACCACCAGGGTACGAGGTGAAGAATCAAGAAGACAAAGTCTACAAGCTGAAGAAGGCATTGTATGGACTGAAGCAAGCGCCCAGAGCATGGAATGCCAGAATCGATGCATACTTCCAGAAGAACGGATTCCATCGGAGCCCGTATGAGCACTCTCTCTATACCAAGAAGAAGGATGAAGACATCATGATCGTATGTCTCTACGTGGACGACATGATCTTCACCGGCAACAATCCGAAAATGTTCGAGGAGTTCAAAAAGAATATGATCAAGGAGTTCGAGATGACTGACATTGGAGAAATGTCATACTTTCTTGGAGTAGAAGTGTCGCAATCAGAGAAAGGAATCTTCATCTCTCAGAAGAAGTATGCAAAGGATATCCTTCAGAAGTTCAACATGAGCAACTGCAATCCAGTCGCAACTCCTGCAGAAGTCGGAGTGAAGCTGAGGCGAGACACACCAGGAAGCTATATTGATCCAACTCTATACAAGAGTTTAGTCGGGAGCTTGCGCTACCTAACCATCACCAGGCCCGACATAGTGTTCGCGGTAGGACTGGTGAGCAGATATATGGAGGAGCCAAGACAGGAGCATTTCAAAGCAGCCAAGAGAATTCTCAGGTATGTCCGAGGAAGTATTGATCAAGGATTATTTTATACACAGTGTGCAGATTCAAGATTAGTCGGCTACACCGACAGCGATTATGGTGGAGATTTAGATGAAAGAAAGAGCACATCTGGCTACATGTTCAATATCGGATCAGCAACATTCTCATGGTCATCAAAGAAGCAGTCTGTCGTCGCTCTATCAAGTTGCGAAGCAGAATACATAGCAGCATCGACATGTGCGTGTCAAGCAATATGGCTCAGGAGTCTGATGAAGGAATTGCAACACCAACAAGAAGCACCGACAGAGATTCTCATCGACAACAAGTCAGCTATTGCACTTGCCAAAAATCCGGTAGCACATGGACGAAGCAAACACATAGAGACAAGATATCATTTCATCCGACATCAAGTTAAAAAGAAGACTGTGATGCTGTCATATTGCAAGTCTGAAGACCAAATCGCTGACATCTTCACCAAGCCACTAAAGACAGAGACATTTTTGAAGCTTAAGAAGAAGCTTGGACTTGTGAGAAATGAAAGTTGGTGATGAGGGGGAGTATTAGAATTCCTCACCAACTTAGATTATTCTAGAACAACTTTTTAGAACTTCTTTCTAGTAACATCCTACAAAATATCTACCATGAAGTTTCTAGGAAGATACAAGTGTATGGCTAGTATTTATTCTTCTAGAAACTTCTTAGTAATGTATGGCTAGGATTAACTCTTCTACACACTTCCTAGCCCTCTTAAACAACTATAAATAGGGGTCTTGTGCTCTCATTTGGGAAAGCAAGCAAGCAAGCAAGCAAGAAGTAAGCTTGAAAGCTTGAGTGTGTAGTGTAGCCTTGTGTGAGTGTCCACCAAAATAAAGGAATTGTGTGAAAGTGAGGTGTTCTTGTAAGAACAAGTGTTGTATTCTCAAGTGTTCTATCAATAAAAGTTTCCTTTGTGTAGAGTGTTGTGTTCTTCAAATTCCATCAATAAAGAGCTTTTATAAAAGGTAGGTAGGTTACCATCATGTCAATTTCTCCATCGAAATAAGTAATGACAAGTGGAATATTAATCACATGATTTTTAGCTGGCTAGCTAGCTTATTTTCTTGGGCTAACTATTTAGGGTGAGTGAAACTAAAAAAAAACCACGGTATATGTTTCCATTGAAAATAAAAAACTAAAGAAATAATTGCATGTTGCCGCATAAACTATTTTGTCAATTTCTCTAAATTAACATTATGTCAATAAACAAAAAGGAACTCGTCCCCAATTCCTAATGTTAATTATTTACATTTTTTGCTTACTTTGATCCCCTAATTAATGCTTGCTTTTTTCGCAAGCTTTGACACTCTAAATTTTACACAATTTTAAACTTCCATGACACAGAGCTTACGCATTTTGTAATTTTGATGCCCTAAATCAGGTGTCAAAAATAAAAACTTTAGCGTAACAAAAATTCAAGAAAGCGATAAAAATGGAATATATATATAAAATGTTTGGGGTAACTCTTCAAGTATCGAAGTTAAAAAATGGTACTGTAAACTAAGGAGTATCAAAGGGCTATTAATAATCCTATGATTAAATTCTGGAAATTTTGTTTTGTTTTTTGTTTTATTTTAGAAAAAAGAAAAACCCTTAAAATGAAAAGGGAAGTTGACAGCAGAGTCAGTTGTTGGATCAGCTGTGAATTGCTCGAGTTATCCTTAAAATGTATTTAACTTTCATAATTCCATGTACTGACAGAGCTCATCGATCGGTCACCCTATCTGCAACTGATTAAATAGTGACGCTCAAGAAAATTAATTTTCAATTATTATGTAATTAACAGTACATTTCAAGACATCAGAACAAAATTAGCTCTCATTGAGACTTTGCAAACGTTTGATAATTCAGAAATTTTATCAACCACCAACAAGATAAAAAGCACGTAGCATATATACCTTCACATGCATATATAGTTTGAAAGTGTCGAGGGGGAAGCGATGGTAGATCCCAGCCGGTCAACAAGATAAAAAGCATGAGCGATCGAGGTTCTGTTACCGCCGGTCGTCATCGATCTCCGTCGTCATCGTACATCGATGATCATCGCCGGTGATATTGCCGATTCCGGTAGCCGACGCGGACAAACCACCCCAACTCAATTTCTCCCTCCCTCTCTCTTGAGTCTTGACTTCAGCGTGAAATCAAGCTGTGTTGCTACGGCTAGCTAGCCACTGGCTCTCTTTCCTACCCTATAAATAATAAAGAAGCCTAGCTGGCTACTACCTAGCTACCTACCCTCTTCACGTGACACATCTCATCCGCACGTGACTCTGCTTAATTTTTAATGGCGTGCTGCGTGGTCTTAATTTATGGTTGTGTTCAGTACTGAAACTTGAATGCCATCTGATCTATCGTATGAGTCTGTTGGGCTC